CATCATGTCTTCATCATGTCTTCATCATGTCTTCATCATGTCTACATCATGTCTTCATCATGTCTGCAGATAATGTTTGATACTGTACCTGCAGATGAGTCACTGCTTCCCTCTGCTGACCTGGAGTCAGTCTCGAGTCCTGTTGCTCTTCAGTCTTTCTTTCTTTTTTGTCTTTTTGAATAAATAAATTGGTTCTTTTTTCTCCACCTGCTCTAATCTTATTGACGTGTGCGTTCTCGTCATGCGTGTACACCACATATGATCTGTGCAGGACAGATTCAGGACAGAGAAACTCGACACTGTGACGACAGAGAGAACTGACACCGGTAACCACGATCACTCTCTTCCTCTTTCTCCCTCAGTTCACTTCAGTTCAAATGGATTCATCAGGACTGAGTGAATACTGACTTTAACGTACACACCTTCACAACGTCATCCTACCTTTGCTTAAATTCCCCTTCAGTTATTCAACACTGGCTGAAATTAAATGTTCGTTGTGTGCGTGAGCTTTGAAAGAACTGATAACAATCATCAAAAATGATAATTACTCTTTGCTAATGTTTTATTTGTTGGATTGTAGATTTAGCTTCTGCTTGTTTTGTTCTATTTTAAACAACATCCATAAATTGAATTGTTGTTTCACATTGATTAATGCAGGTGATTAATGCAAAGCAGCAGCAGCAGCAGTCCCATGTATGTCGGCCTGCAGCCAGACTGGGACCAGGATCCTCAAACAAAGCATCCATTCACAGGAGGGAGGGAGGCAGGGAGGGAGGCAGGGGGTGGGGGGTGGTTTACATTTTGTTCAACCTAAATAACAGTAAATAAAATGTGCTATTGTCTGTGTGTCCTCAGTCTCTGTGTGTCCTCAGTCTCTGTGTGTCCTCAGTCTCTGTGTGTGTCCTCAGTCTCTGTGCGTCCTCAGTCTGCTGGTTCAGAACATCAGGATAAATATGAAGAGCAGGTTTGTGCAGTGGATCAGACAGAAGTGAATTATAATTAAAAATGAGAGAGACAGAGACAGAATGAGAGAGAGGGGGGGGGAGGGAGACAGAGAGAGAGAGAGAAACAGAGAGAGACAGAGGAACAGAGAGAGACAGAGGAACAGAGAGAGAGAGAGAGAGAGAGACAGAGAAACAGAGAGAGACAGAGAGAGAGAGAGAGACAGAGAGAGAGAGAGACAGAGGAACAGAGAGAGACAGAGAGAGAGAGAGAGAGAGAGAGAGAGAGA